AATAATAATAATATTTAAAAAGAAAAGCTTGTTTGTTAATTTAAGCTTCTGCCGGCTATCCAGCATGTAAACCAGGTTTTATTTTCACTGTAAAGAGCTGACACGTCACACTCACTATGAACTGTTTCTAAATGCTGCATGTTGCATTAGTGACCAGGTACACGGGCGTATAGAATAACATAACATGTATGCATGTGACTTACGGCATGTGTGTTGTTGTTGTCCGTTTCTCCATATCAAACTGCCAGTTGAAAGTGTTTTCTCGCTGAGGATTCTCAGCTCCGTCTTCTCTCTTCAGCTGCCCCCGGGGGAGGAGGGGGGGGGGCACATGTAACTAAACTCCATGAAGAATCAGCCTGAAGCCCTCCTGAATGTAACCGAGCAGCAAAGCCGTTTCACCCGCAGCTTTTTTTTGTTTTTAAGAGAAGATACGAAMCAACAAGAGAGCCACAACTACTGCAACGACACTGTCACGACGTGTTGCTTCTGTTGTTTTTATATATGTATACAGATGATTTTTTTCCTATATAAAAAAACAAACAAACAAAAAAACAATGTGTCAGGTGTAATATTTCTGTTAAACACAAATTAGCGATTTGTGATCAAGTGCCAAATAAAAACGAAACAGTATTGTTTAAATTTATACTGTACGGTTGTTATATGTTGAACAAAAATGTTTGCAACTGTTGACTTTTTGTAGGTTTTGTATGGTATTTAGTGACTGCCATTTTTGCAACACCGAATTCAAGTTTTGTTTTTTGGTCAATTTCAAAGGCAAAAATTAAATTTACCTGATATTGTGTGCAAGTATTCATGTGACGTGTGGTTATTTGTGTAATACCTGGATGCAGGGCCGGCCCTAGGCAAGATTTCATCAGGTGCCCCATGTGCAGTTGTCTAAATCTCACTGCCTACTTACKAACAAAATTAAATAGTTTTGTCCTTGATGTTCTTTTTTATATTTAGAAACAAGTTTGTCCAGTTGAACTAGTTAAAATGATTGATTCGAAACAGAACAACAGAAGTCTACCTCATACCTGCCAACATGCACTGACATCATGAGGAACACCTGTTCATGTTAACCATCCCTGCAGTACACAGGGGGGGTTTGTCCTAAACATGATTGAC